GATGCGCGCAGCCGAGTCAAAATCAGTTGCGCGCACGGTGATGCTATCCGCATCCGAGCTAATTCGGTTGACGGACATGCGAGGGTTTCATCCCCCGATTTAAACTCGGCTGCGGACCAGGCGAGTTAAAATCGCCAGGCCGTTCAACCGATGAATTCGAATGTTCGGTCAGTTGTCAGCCGAGGTAACCTCGGCCACTACCAACCGATTAATGGAAGCTCGGTTGACGGTTCAACCGAGCTTTCATAAGATCGGTTATTCTCAACCGATCAAACTGGGATCGGTTGTAGACCCACCGAGGAAAATGTACATCGGTGGGCCAATAACCGATGAAATCAAATTATCGGTTAATTGCCCGTCCGAGGAAATCGAAAATCCGGGGTGACTGGGCTGGACAGCCCCGGATTTGCTCTGGTTCTCCTGTTTTGCTTTTTTTTGTTTTGCTTTTTTTGTTTTGCTTTTTTTTTGTTTTGCTTGGTTTTTGTTTTGTTTTTTGTTTTGTTTTGCTTTTTTTTGTTTTGTTTTTTGTTTTGCTTTTGTTTTGTTTTGCTTTTTGTTTTGTTTTGCTTTTTGTTTTGTTTTGCTTTTTGCTTTTTGTTTTGTTTTGCTTTTTGTTTTGTTTTGCTTTTTTTGTTTTGTGTTTTGTTTTGAATTGCTTTTGTTTCGATTTGCTTTTTTTTTGATTTGCTTTTTTTTCCACCCCCATTCGACCCCAACAACACCACCATCAGGTCGGCGCAAACCATCTCCGGACCAATCAGCTCTCGAAGTCGCCCTCAACAACCTCGATAAGTGTCTCGATAAGTGTCGAGAACCCCCTCAGGGAGCACTCGAAGCCTACGAGACCTTCGCTCAACCACTCGTACAAGACTATGGCCAACTGCTCGAGGCCTTCGGGCCCTCCTTTGCTCTCGCTAAGAGTCAAGATCCATCCCGCACTTCTACCCTCCAACGCCCTCCTCAAATCTAATTCGAGTCATCAGCAATAGCCTATGGTCAGTCTTCTCTCCCCCTCCCTTTAACTCTGGATCATAAAAAAATTATTTGATCTCGACTGATTCCCCATGATTTCGGAATAGATTGAAATAATCAATCTCCAATCAGGTTTTATCACCCTTCTATCTGAAAAATATTTGCTTACATTTCTTTTTTTTTTCGGTATCTTTAGAACTTTCGAGCCATTCACCACTGCAGCCGTCGAGCCATTCACCACTGCCGCCGCTCACCGAGACTGAGAACGCATCGATCGAGGACGCGCCAGAATTCAAGCCTTCGGAATCTGCTCGGCCGGCTTTCCTGGCCAGTCTCTCCCATGCCAGCCCCTCATCATCCTCCTCAGCCCCGCGTAAAATGCCAGGCACTTTCCAACCTGCAAATCCCCCTTACTGATGTCTGGCTCGCCACCCAGTAAGGGCCCATCCACCGTGTCGACAACGTTTACGTTTGCCTCGATGGAGGAGGACCCCACCTCGATCCATCCTTCTCGCTCGCCAAGTGGGGGTGGCGACCAACAGGTAGCCGGACTGGCGTAGATCATCAAGGCTCGCTCCGGGGGATTGCCCGCGGGAATGAAACAACTATCCTATCTCTTCCACCCATCATTCTACCAGTGGTGGTCCGTCAGGATCAACGGGTGCAAGTGGTTTTGGCTGGCTGGCAAGAGTGTGGTGAATCAACATATCATTGGGATGACCAGGCTTTGCCCCAATATGTTATAAAATATTTTTTGCTTTTTTTTGCTTTTTTTTTGTTTTTGCTTTTTTGTTTTTGCTTTTTTTGTTTTTGCTTTTGTTTTCCTTTTAGTTTTCCTTTATGTTCTTTTGTTTTGCTAATAAATAATAGATAGTGAATTTTTGAGATGCACTTGAATGCAAAATTATAGTCCCAGATCATCTTAAAAATTTCAATGAAGGTGGTCAATTCAATGCAGAAATGGCTTGCAGCAGCTTTTTGGAGAGCTTTACTCCTCACCAAACTGCTTGCAGAAGATTCTTCTGGGTCAAAGCTGTCCAACAACACCTTTGACCTGACTACCTGAGCAATTCTTGGGTGATTGTTTTGCTTTGCTATTGTTTATTTTTGTGTGTGCTGTGTGTGTTTTTTTGATTTCCTTTCACTTCTGTTTGCTTGTTTTTGTGCATTTTTGGCCTTTGCTGATCTCATAAATCACATAAATAAGCAAAAAAAAGCAGAGAACAACAAACAAGCAGAAAACAAAAAGCAGGAAACAGAAAGCAAAAATCAAAAATCAGAAAAAAAGCAGAAAACAAAACTTGAATCTGGCTTGCAGATAGGTTTTGCCAGCACTTTGGCCACTGGACAGACTGATTGGATTATTGCTGACACAATCAGTAGTGTGAAAATGAAACAACTCACATCTGTCCTCCAAGATAGTTTAAGGGGAAATAGGAGGAGGAGGCACAATCAAACTGCAGTACTTTTGGACCTCTCACAGGGGCTTTTTGAGCCAACTTGAGATTTTTTTGGCTGACTAAATTTTATTGACAGTATTCTATGGAGTAGGACACCAATTTTGACCCCAGGTGGCAGCAAGTAAGAAATTGATTTGCTTGTGGGGAGGAAACTTTCTCAGAATAATGTGTGATCAAGGCCCCAAAAATTATTCTTTCAATTTTGATATGGCTGTAGACCTCATGCAGAATTTCTTCTTGGTATATATAAACTGCTGGGTAGTTTTCCCTGCTTCAGGAGAGTTTTCAGCTAGCCCCAGATTTGCTCTGGTTCTCCTGTTTTGCTTTTTTTTGTTTTGCTTTTTTTTGTTTTGCTTTTTTTTGTTTTGCTTTTTTTTGTTTTGCTTTTTTTTGTTTTGCTTTTTTTTGTTTTGCTTTTTTTTGTTTTGCTTTTTTTTTTTTTTTTTTTTTTTTGCTTTTTTTTTGTTTTGCTTTTTTTTTTTTGCTTTTTTTTGTTGTGCTTTTTTTTGTTTTGCTTTTGTTTTGTTTTGCTTTTTTTGTTTTTTTTTGTTTTGTTTTGCTTTTTCTTGTTTTGTTTTGTGTGAAAGACAAGCAGAAAACAAAAAGCAAAAAACAGAAAGCAAAACTCAAAAATCAGAAAAAAAGCGGAAAACAAAAAGCCAAAACCATCAAGGCTTGATTCTTGCTTTGCAGATAGGATTTGCCAGCACTTTGGCCACTGGACAGACTGATTGGATTAGTGCTGACACAATCAGTAGTGTGAAAATGAAACAACTCACATCTGTCAAGAATGGTTTCAGGGGAAATAGGAGGAGGAGGCACCATTTGATCAAACTGCAGTTCTTTTCCTATTTTCTATCTTACTGCACTAGGGTTTTCATGGGTGAAATCTATTTGTGGGTGTGTGGCCAGTGATTTTGTAAAAAGAACCAATTTCATGCAGAAAAATCAACCTTGGGGCCTTGTTTGCAAACATGGAGTGTTCCATATCAAGGTAAAAGCAATCAATCATTTCCATTTAACTTAATTGGAGTATTAAATCAAAATGGTCTCAATTGCAGGTGCAAGCCGTAATGCTCTGTAACATTTGAGCACTAACAGTGTATCCTTAATGCTCTGAATCATTTGGGCTTGAGCATTAACAGTGTATAGGATTTAAAGACACAGGCCACTTTGATAAAATTTCTTACACTAGCAACTGTTCAAGTGCCAGGGATGCAGGGGTTGTGCCTTGGTCTAGTGTCAAATTGTTTATCAAAAGGTTTAAACATCTTTAAGAGCCACAAGTTCATCAGTAAATGGACAATTGCATCAAATGTTGCAAAATTTCTCTGGGAAAATCAAAAGCCTGGTCACTCATATTTTAATCTCTGAGAAATAGTGGAACCCAAACAGAGAAAAAAAAAAGAGAAAGGAACAAGAGAAAGAAGGTAAGGCAAATTCACTGGAATGCTAAACTACATGGGGACAGGAGTTCAGTAAGGGAGAAATAATAAAAGACTAATTAGAAGGAAATAGACCAAAAAATAATGGGGGAATTACATGAGGTTATTCAAAAAAAACTTCTTAAACATGAATCTCTCAATAACATAAAGACAAATGGCATGGGTATACCTATTTGCAGCAATCAAACAGTAGTTTTTCAAAATAAATCTTGCTTGTGAATGATGAACTATTTTAGGCGGCTCATCCGTTGGGGTGTCAAATTTCACGGACTCTATTTGGGGTCGCTCACTGGACAAAGTATCGAATTCCACAGGCTCTATTTGAGGCGGCTCGCTGTTTGATGTGTCAAATTGGGGGGCAGGCTGAGGTCTGCTAGCTGCTTCGGTGACGTCCTGAAGAGTGAAAGGCGTCCCTAGTTCATCGCTGAGTATCTTACGCGCCTCCGCGTGCATCGTTCTTTTTAGCTTCTCGAGAGTCTCCATCGTCTTTTTTGCCGCATCGTTCCCGTATATCGTATCCCCCGGTCTTTTGATTGCTCGGACGAGGATTTTGCCAGCCAGATTGCAGACCTTGACTATGTGCTGTTCAGTTGGTCGCAGCCATTTTCGAACTACCTGTTGGCATAGGATTACAAAGGATCCATACTCAAAGGTCACCCCAAAAAGATCACGGCCCCTTGTGGCATCTATGATTTTTTGAACATCCATTTCGTTTGTCGAGATAACGGTAAGTTCCACGATTGTGTGATGAAACGCTCGATGAAGCTATGAAAGAAATCACGGAATATACACAGGAGATGAACAGATGAAGGGCAGATTGAGGAGAACAGAGAACGCTCACGATTTGAACAAGAGCTCTAATGTAGCTATCGTAGCTGAAGTCAGCTCCATCGTAACGTCCGCCGGCCAGATAGTTGAGGTGTTGCATTAGATCATGAATATGATCGTGGGACAGGTTTGACACTCCGAGTTCGGTTGTGATTTCAAGCCCGAGGTCGTTTAACTCTTCTGTTAGGCGCTCTCGTTGCTGGCATCCGTCCATATTGTGGCTTGCACTTGAGGGCATAGTATCTGAAAGAGGGAAGTGAGAACACGAACTGGAATTAGAGGTACAGTTTTTTGAATGAAGCTTACCTTGTTGCATTCTTTCGAAATACCAGATATGTATCCGCGCGTACTGGAAAAAACTTCGAATAAAATCAGGTTAGGTGCATCTGGTTTCCTCCTTGGCGGAACCTTTTACCTGTGGCTGTTTGCCAAGTCAGATTCATCCAGTCCGGGGCCAAATCCTGTGACATTTCACACACCGGACGTGCTAGGTGCATATTTATGCAATGAACCTTCAATAGCTGAAGCCTGAAGACCATATGCATAAAGTCAACACAATGGCAAGAATAACAAAGCATGCCAGTATATGAAGAAACTGCTCAAGCAGTTTTCAGAGGACCAATCACCAAGCAGCATGAATATAAAAGCCAGGACAAGAACTTATTTTGGTTTTGCAGCATATTTTGACTCGCATTAAAAGTGCTGCAAGTCAACACTCTTTCCTACCAGAAGTCATCCTTACCCCTGGGAAGATTAGCTGTGGCATTTGAAACATTATTTATCTGAAAAAAAAAAACATTTTTGGATTTTTGTGAGCTGAAAAATTTAGCTCCATTTGTATATAAAATGCCAATTTGGGGAAGGGGGGGGGGGGGGGGGGAGGTGGGGATGAGTACGTCAGCAGATCAATGCTGATGGGGCTTATCCTCTTACCTTGATGGTCATCTATATGGTCAACTACCTATTATTAACCCATACCAACGCTTGTGGACCAACCTTTATCTTACTATGGGTTATAAGGATCATGGGTGAAGAGTGAAAGTCTCTATCACCCAGGTAGATGATCAATCCCTATTTACCCATTTTTTTCATGGGTTAATTGATATTAATTCTCTCTTAAGTCAGAGAAGGCATGGGTCCAGAGAAGATCTTTTCATTTTTAGCAGACTGCCAACTTGGTTGAAATTTCATTTGGCTAGAGATAAATTCAAAAACCAATTTTCCACTATAGTTATTACCTCTTCCTCTTTTGGTGACGGGCTAACTCCCCAACAAGCTACTGCAAACAGTTTGGTGAGGGATAAAAGTCCCCACCAAGCTGCTGTTTTCAAGACTGAATGCTACATCAGTGACTGACAAGAGTGACAATGCAAAGATCTAAAATAAGAAGAATAGTTGAAAAAATTTATCACTTTCTGAGCTGAAAACCTTACAAATTTTCTGGAAATAGTCCCTATTAACCCATGAAGATCCTGTCTTTTCCTCAAAAAGGGTATGGGTTATTTAATGATGGGATAACAGGGGGCGACAGCACAGTAATGAATGGTCTCAGAATCAACCAACTTCCCAAAGGAATTGACAGTCAATTTAAATTCATTTGTTCTCAAGGTGACTTAACACAAGGTCAGAAGGTCAAAATTGATGTGAGAAGGTCAAAATTGATTAAACAGCAATGGTAGATGAAAATGTTCTTTAGTATGTATCTTATGCTCCCGCCATCCTTGAATTCAGACGCAGTCGTCATTTTGATCGATTTGATTTGCGCGAAAGTTCGCCAAAGTCTTCAAAGATCAACTCCAAGCCGGTAGTTTCACCAACCACATTTGAAAGATAGACCTGAGACATACATGGTAAGCTGCAGGTGCAGATGAATCTGTCATGAATACCAATCGGGTAAAAACTTGCCTTCATACGTTGAATCTGTTCCAGGAATAAAATCAACTGCCTTCTCTGCTTTTCCAACGCAGTCCAACCGCGTTTCAGTTTTTTTCTGTTTTGATCCAGGAATATCAATGTCTCTTCGGTTTTGACCTTCTTAGCGCCGCCGATTCGAAAGACCCATGGGCCACGGTGATACCGTGCGTTTCGAAGGAAATGTATTTCTTCGTGGAATAAGATCGACGTCTTATCTTGTTCAGCGAGAAGACTGTATGCTGATTCTAAGGTTTTGTTGGCATCGGCCTGTAAGCTCTGTACTTCGTAATTTGAAAAACTCAGCAAGGATTCGACAACCTGGTTCTTCGAATATTTGTTTTGGTAAATGACTTTAAAATACTATAGAATGTGTGATCAAAAATCAAATTCAATTGTTAACATGAAAATTTACTTCTACTTGCGATGCAAAGGTTGATAATAAGTCAATGCTTGCGGTGCTCACTTTTTGGGAAATCAGCTCGATTAGATGAATCCCCGCCGCGTCCAACTTTTCGATTTCGTCAGTAAAAAGGGAATAAGCGTATGCTAGATTCCTCACTTGCGAGCTGATTTTGGTATGATTTCCAAGTTTCGTGTCCATGAATAGAAGAGCATTAGACAATTGCAGCAAGTCGGTGGTTTCAGCAAAGGAGTTCTCGGGTTCGTTGAGCGAGACCAATACAGAAGAAGTGAGGCGAAGTGGATAGTTTGCATTCTTCGAAAGCCGAGGGAGTGCGTAAGGACTCCGATGGGGGGAAACGACACCGCATAGCCCCGTGGCCATAAGAAGAGTATCGCCAAAAGCCTTAGTCATGTTCCACATGCCAGTAATCATAGCTTCCAGGGTGTCCTTCGATAAGCTCTTGATGTGCGAATACAGTAGATGAAAAGGCTTGAATGGTAAAACCAAAGCCACAATGCTATCGACGATGTCGAAAAAGTACATAGTTGTCACGCAGAGAAAAATAAAAGTACAGGCACGTGCGGGGTGCGCCAGAAGTAAGGCCAAAATATTCACGAGCGACATGGCCAAGAAACGCATGGGGTGAAGAAGAATAATCAACGCGGGATGTCTTCGATTGGAGTGGCTGTGCTTGTGCGATCTCGACATGTTGTGGAGGCAGTAGAATTCAGTGAGGGGGATCGCTGTCGGAAGGATGTGCCACCCAGTGTCTTGAAAAATTGGGCAAAAGTGGACCTGAGTTTGTTGAGCGACACGACGACTTGAGGACACATCCTGGATCACACAAGGGAGAAGCAAACACAGCCTGGGTGTAAAACGCTTTGTCAGCTAGATCCATCATCGGGGCATGGAAACCACCGCACTAAATTGTCACCGAGTTCTGAAGTATTCCGGCAATGCGGCAGTGTGTAGATTACATAGACGTGCCTCTTGGACTATATCAAGCATTTGGCCATCACGCAAACCCCAACTGCTCGGAGTCTCTCTACAGTTTCGTTACCTAGCCCAGAGTACAGGATGACTGGTACGTTGACCACACCCTTCTATTTCTGTCTGTATAAATAATGGGTTATTAACTGTTATCAACCGCGAATTGGTCTTACAGCCTTTAAGATCCTTGCGACGCTCGCATTTCTCGTTTCATTTAAGGTAGTTCGACTGGGACTGTTAGTTGCGACATGGCTCGTTTGCCGCCAAAGTTATATCGATTTGTCATTGGTTACCATCGGCCGAAAAATCTGCTATCTAACGAAGGAAATCTTGAGGCCAGCAGGCCTGGAGCCGATGGAAGATTTCTGCGCGGTATCTTTGATATGGAGCAGTACGATAATTGGTCTGACTACAGCGGGGTACATCTTCAGTTGTACTTGGATATATCTCAAGGAAGAGTTAAGATCGTTTTGGATTGAGCTGCAGGACGTGAGTAAATCGTTAAATGATTATACAACTTGCGCTTATGTATGTCTTATTCATTGGATGCGTTGTTGCCTGCTCTCAACTGGCACGACCCTCAGGAAAACCAATAAGTGTCACCATCACGATTGGGCTTCCAACTGGATTTTTGTTTTCGCAATGTAGAAGCAGTTACATACTTGCGACCACGATAGGACATTCAATTTCTACTTCACTTGCTCTTACCCGTTTGTCCAAGAAATTCCGATGAGGCACCGCCCATAGGTGCCAATCATTTAACCTCGAGAGACCTAGGTGTCGGAATCACGACTGTGATACCAGACAGAGGCAACATAATGGCAACAGACTTTGCAACCGAAAATATTCAAAACAGGAACACTAGACATAAGGCTATTTGTAAAGCAGTGAAGCAGAATTCTTCCTGTGCTTTCACTTGAATGATATACATCATGACGGAGCGAAAGTGAACACATGCGAGATCACAAATGTATTCAAGCTTTGGATCAGGGTGTTCCAGTTGCAAGGAAAAGTAGGATTGTGACCAGGTACCAACTAACAGGCCGTATGCTACTACTCTGGACAAGACTCGAATACCGACCAACATGGCTGTATAGTTTGCAAAAAAATGTCAGATTGCATTGAAGGATGTAAACACTTGAGAATATTGCTTACGCGACCGATCAACCTCTTCCAAGCTCAATCGGTGGTCTTCGTTTGTTTTTTCTTCTTCAGTATGGCGTGAGTGGACAACGGAGCCATTGTTGATGCCTCGGGTCGCTCCCTTTATTTGTATCGGGCTTTTGAGAGGAGTGGGGTCGAATGGTACAAATGAAAAGTTGTCTAATGATTGGCCTGAGAGAAACGCGAAAAGTTAGTAAAACGTGTAAATACTAAATCACAACTTCACACTCACCATCGAGTTTATAAACGGGACAATCAGGTTCACAGTTGCCGTGAATCTTTTGGTTCAAGGTATGAGTTTTCACGCGAGCGATACTAAGGCAACAGTGTTTGTCGCAAGGCTTCTTGTTATACTTGACTTGGCTGCAAGTAGGTAGGTGAGGACAAGCATAATGGGTTGGCATTTGGAGGTTGAATGTAAATCGAGAGGTTTTCGGCAACTTTAGGTGGCAGTCGCTGGTAGGAATTGAAAGACTTTGCGTAGAAATCGAAATGTTCTCAAGACAACTGTGCCTGTATTTCAAGCCCACTTGGTGTTGGCAAATTGGCCCTTCTGTGCTTCTGATCGTGTCTAATTTAGTCATGGTGAGCAGCTTAGTCATTGGCTCATACCCATAAGAGCTTTACTAAGACAGCTACACATTATGCATATGGAAACGATGTGAACAATGTCTTTCTGACTGTTGCCTGGGCTACAGACTTTTTGTTTTTGGCTCTGTTAAATGAGGACAAGGCTTCTTCTTTCATAATCCGATGGGGACTTGTTGTAGTACGCGTAGAACAGTCTACATACATACGCGCCAGAACGTCATAACAGTCCACGGATGGGCCGACAAGACAGAAACATAGAGTTGTCACGTCTCTAGGCAGATACAGGAGAAGCGGGCCGCCAGCTCGGGTCGGTACCGGAAGCCGTTATGTACTTGGTGTGCCGAGGTGTGCCGGCTATGTACCGTATCTGTATAAACTAAAACCTCTTGAGTCGTTCTCAGCTTGTATCAGGCATTCCAGTACGAGTCTGGCTGCCTCGCAGTTCTGCCCTTTACTAGCCTTTATTGCAGCTCAGCACCGTCAGGCTGACAAGAGTTCAGATTTTGGAGATTCGATCACTAATGTAGCATATGTACGTGATGCATATACTTAGGGGCTGCAAATCTCTGTGCCAGATGAATATGTGCAAGGAATGCGCATGACGTGATCAGCTTATCTTAGACTTTGGGGCTCGATTGTCTTTTTGCATCATCTTTTTCCTCACAAATCCACGAGACAGTCTGCACACTTCCTAAGAAAATCCTTATCCGTTCATAATTTCATAGTTTGCCATGTCTGAAGCTGGATGTTCTTCAACAAGCCCGGATTGTCAAGCAAACGAAGCCGCCGCCTACACAATTGAAGATCGTGGTTCGCTGCTTGATGAGAAGCAGATTTCCGGATTTATCAGCAGTATGGAAGCAGTTGATGAGAGAAGCCCGTGCCCACGTCAGGTAAGATTTCTTGGCCATAGTTTTGCACTTGGTCTTTCCGGTTCCAATGGTTTACATCCTTGATTAACTCTACTGTCTCTGTCAGCGTGTATCCTATCCCTACGATGAAGACGCTCTTGAGGCAGAGAACGAGAAACTCAAGGATGAATTGAAGAATCTGAAGCAAAATCATCAAAGGCTCTCACGAAAAGAGCAAGTCATGCTAGAACAGCTACGAATCAGCGAAGATGAGAGAGGTAGCTTAGAGGAGAAAGTGGTAGAACTTCGTCGTGATTATAATGCAAAGATAAAACTATTAGATGAGTCACAAAGTGGGTCTTGAGTCTAGGAGCACGAAGATCAACTGTTTTCTTACTCACATTCATACTTTACAGAACAACTACATGCCGCAAATCTCGAATTAGACGCCATGGCCTCCAAGCTGCACCTTTTCCAGCAGGAAGCACACGCACATACGTCCAAGATGGAGAGGAATAGGAAGACAAAGGTAAATATGCTGCAAGCTATCAAGAGCGGAATTACATGCTGACAACAAATACCAGGAGATTGACGATGAAAAGCGCCTCAGGAAGCTTTCACGCAGTTTACAGGAACTTGAGCATCAAAATCACGAGCTTCAAAATCGTGTCCAATCCCAAGAATTAATGATCCTAGAATTGAACAACACCACGGACACAGTTTCCTCATCGATAGAGCCGCGAATAGAAGACGAAGTTCCAGTTCATGGGGGACATGTGCTCTTTGAGGAACTTGCCTGTCAAGAAGCCAAGTATACTTCTGAAAACGACCGAAAAAACAACACATACCCACACATGGCTCCTGAGGAAAGGAAGGCGTTGGTTATCGTTGCGGGGAAAGGTCGTAAAATTGATAATAAAGGCCCAGATTCTACAGCGGTGGCAAAGTTTTGGGGACTACGATTGAGAAACTTAGGGAATACCTCAGAGAAGACACTATTTTGGGCTTGTGTGTGTGCTGGGGTTATGTTGATTATAGGTTTCATGATTGCTTTCTATTTTTTCAGATTTTTGAACATGAAGGGCGAGGATGCAAGAGTGAATGCATGGTGGTACCTAAAAGACAAATTGGCTGTAAAGAGTGACATGTGATATTAGATGCCAAGAAAGAAAGAGCAGAATACCCAAAGACACTTGATTCACTGAGTTGGAAAGAAAATAGCCCCAATCCGGTATGCAGCATCTGCATAGCCTGCTGCTTGAACTGCATGGGCAGTTTGGTCAGGAGGAAGCCTCCCAGAGAACCGGCCAGACCAACCCCAGGGTTGAAAGTGCTCAGATCCTGAAGGGCTCATAGTTGTAATATGTTCGGGTCGATAGGAGGAACAAAGGTATCCTTCCTTGCATAAACACCTCAAGGCGATCTCCAATAGAGACCCCATTTCCGAGCACTTCTAGTATGAGAGCGTATTCTTCACCAAAAAGTATCAAAACATGTCCTGGATTGAACCTCGCCCCATAAGGAAATCACAACACAAAGAATGAATAGCCGGTGAAAAACCAGACATGTACCACAAGGATCAATCATTAAAGCGTCTCTTTTGATCCTCGCGCATTGCAACTAATAGTCCTTCTTTGTGTTCTTTGGACACCAGTAGAGAATCCAAGGCCTGTGCAACCATATCTTGTAGGTAACTGCGCGCCATCCCGCCAGATTGATCGAATGCCTACACCCGGGCATAACTCAGAGTCAGTAACAATATACAGCAAAATACGATCTGCCAAGAATCTTCAAACAAACCTGGGTGCTGAGAACGTTGATGCCGTACAATTTCAACTGTCTGCGCCAACGCTCCAAGCCTGACCGGACGGCAAACGCAAGATCGACCGATCGTTGGAGCTGCGCGAGTAAACGTCGTTGCTGCTGACTTGTTTCGGTCCTGGCTTGTTCGATTTTTTGAATGCTCTGGTTGAAACCATTGATGAGTTCATCGTGATGGCTCAATGCTGAGTTGGTCAACAACCTTGTAACTTGAATCATCTGCATAAGAGCCGTCAGGTTCCTTTGATTGCGGGTTGGTGTCATTGTCTTGTTCGTCGTGCCGTTTACCAAAGCTTCAGTGGAACTGTGAATTCCCTCCCCGTCCTGAAGTAATTTTTTTCTCAGGATTTTGGTACTTGCATCTTGCGGATCTATAATAAACTAACAACTCACCTGAAACACAAAGACCAGCATCGCATTGAAGCCATCGATGCCCAGCGTATGAAGGTGATCATTCAAGCTGCGGATCACTCGACCGGTTCGTTTCAATGACGAGATCAATTCAATATCAATTATAGAAGAGAATTTCGGAGAGCTGTACGTGTGGGCCAGACGGTCGTAATCTGTGAACTCCAAGTCATTGGGGCCGTATTGACTGAACGTGATGATCGAATCGAATATCCCTAGATTCTTCGAACCGTTGCGAAACTGGATTGGGGGAAAGTAGTCTGGTGGAATAAAGTTTGGTATGATTTTGCTTTTGGCTGCGAGCGCTTTCTTCTGAAGAGGAGACAAGACGTAACGGCTGATATAAAGCAATGCAATGAGCAACAAGCCTAATAGCATGCCCACGACAAACCCATGCTGGAGAGGGGAGCCAAAGACGATGGTAAGGAGAGCGGCACGAGAGACAAACATTGGTATTGAGCTTGCCGGCCTGTGTGTTCTGATGAGTGTTGAAGACAGTCAGTTGCAAATCTCAAAAAAAAACTATGAGAAGTGGGTACTAAATACCATACTTCTACTTGGTGCCCCTATTCACGGCCCGGCAGCTAAAATTCAACCGTATGTAGTTGCCTGTGGTTGTGGTATTATTGACAGGCCATTTTAACCTGGGTGCCCCAAGCCCCTATCAATGGGTTTTCGGATTTCTTGTCACGTTCACTAGCACAGCCGACCCAAAGACGTGATGGATTGCTAGGACAAGACCCCGGCGTATATACCCAGGTCAGGTGCTTCTGGGACTCCGGTGATATTCTGTTTTCATTTGGACTCGAATAGAATGTGCATCAGTTGCTCTGACTGAGGTTTCGGGGGCTTCACGGCCCATTGTCTTGGCGGTTATCTGAAGAAATCTTGATGGACTGGTAATGTTAAGTTGTCACAGCAGTAATCGGAGATTCAGCTTGGGGATTCTACGCGGGAGATCCACTGACTTCAGATTCGTCGACGCCCAGCGCGACTATGGGTCTCTAATCCAGCGCAACTATGGGTCTCTAAATCTTCGTCAGGATTCGAAAGGTGCAACGCTCCAGTTCTGAAAGTCAAAAACAGAAAAAGAGGGACCATTTTTTTCTCGCAACTCATGAAGGTTTCTTCAGGTACCACTACTACTTTTTAGCTTGTATCCTCCTCAGATTCCGCAATGGAACACTCTACAAGTTTACACAACAAGCGGATTATTTGGTTTATTCAATTTGAAGATTTGCAAGTCATGGTGGCAGATCTGGATTCAGGAGACTAAGAGTGGCCTCAGTCCGGAGAGATAATACGTCGGACAATGCATTTGCATACTAGTTGGACAAGAGTAAGACAGCTCCACAAGTACATATTGACAGCCAGTGCTACTTCAGACTGAAAAAAGGGGATAAGAAAGGGCATAAATCCTACTGTAAGCCCCAACTTTTAGTCTAATATTCCACATTCCTGCCTCCATTTGATCTAATCTTGTATTCTTTCACATAGCTCTCTGATAGTCCAAAGTTTGTGATAAATTTTTATGTTCTTGTTGAAAATCTCTTGTGCACATGGCCCCATTCAAGTTCTCAATGGCCCCATTCAAATTCTCAATGGCCCCACATGATTATCAGCAAATAATAAGGGACAACAAGCAAAGGAAATCAGAAAAAGCACAACAAAAATAAGAAAAATCTGTAAAAATCTGTCAAAAAACAAGCAAAAGAAAAAAGTAGAAACAAGCAAATAAAAAGCAGAAACAAGAAAAAGCAGACACAATTGCAGTCAAAATCCATCTTGACTCACCTCTCATCACTACTTCTATTTGAATTTTTTGTGCCATCTGATTCAGTCAATCATAAAAAAGTGGTCTAACCACATTGGCAAGGAAATAATTGGCTGTGCCCTGCCTCACAAACATTTAGCTGGGTGTTCAGAAACCTTTTATGTAGTACTTTCTCTCAATTAGGCTTTGTCAAGTTGATATGCTTTGTCATACTTTGTGGATACAGTATGCTTTGTCTTTTTATAAACTGTAAATATGGTAATGAATTTATTTGAAAAAGAAAGAATTAAAAAACAGCAAGTAATTGAATACAAATAGGATCCAAAAATACCTGAAACAAAGCAACAAGGTCCAAAGGCTTTGTGCAGCGTTTTTAAGGGAAGCAAAGAAACAAAACAAGCAAAGACAAGTAAAAAAGAACAACCAAAAAAGACAGGCAAATCACAAAAACATATGAATTATTTTTGCATTCCAGTGCATCTCAAAAAATTAATTGTCCTATTGTTTTTGTTGCCCAAACAGTACAGAATGGCATTTGTGTCGTTTGAAAGCCAGCTTGCCATTGGAAATTGGTTGCTAACCATAAAAAAATTGGCAATAAATAAACACATTTTTTTGCATTTTTGTTGGAAACCTGGAGCCATGACCGGTTCCAGCCACGGTAAGGATGCTCTCAGCGTCGGCGACGGCTACCGGTCGCCATCCTTGTGCGCCGCCCTCGGTGTTTTCCTCTCTACAGCCGTATGTTGTCTTCTCCTTAGCTCTCTTACGCACCTTGCCTAGAGGCTTACCGCTGATACTCATGACCCGCGGCAATCTGTAAATCTCTAAACAGGTCGACGGTCTCTTTCTTGAAGATGGAAGTTCGGCAAAAGTTGTAAATTTCAAGCTGAATAAATCTATTGATCTATCCATTCGAGCAAGCTAAACTATTTGTTATGTCGGTGTTACATGATCCAAGTCATAGTTCTCATGGTTATCCTTCACTTTACCATGCACTTGCACCCGGTAGATACACGTCAGATCCGGATTTCCATGATTTGATTTGATTTTTAGGACCACTTTCGAATGTAGCTGCAATCTTGTTTTCGGGACTAAGAATTCCTGAACGTTCTCCAAGCCGTGGATGCTGTAAGTACCCTCTAGCAATAAGTTTCCCTCAACTTCCTGGTTGCCGTGATCTAAACCCCAAAGTTCGAACTGTTTGGGCGCTGTTCGGATATCGTATGCCAAAGATCGAGGCACGTGACCGATCGTGATTCCTTCAACCCAAATTGTTCGCGAGAGTCGAATTCCAATCTGTCCCGTGGTTCCGTGGAAGGGCCAGCATATGCCAAGGCTAAGATCGGAAACAAGCACGGTAAGCGGAGGACTACCGAATACTTTCTGGCTTTTTTTGAAAAGTGTGAATTTTGATGGTTGGATTTCGCGATCGTTACTCCACGTTGGGGATGTCAAGGTGTCGATGATTGATGCACCAGCAGAAAAAGAGGCAAAATCTTTCCTTGGAGTCACGATCGATTCATGGCCTTCCTGCTTTGCTTGGCCTGACATTCTCCCCCAGCGGTTCTCTGTCAGTAGAAGTACTTCTTCGAATTCGGACCTTTTGACTACGTCCAACATTCCATCGATAAGACTTTTGATGTCTGCGGCCGTGTTCAAACCTTGTTCTTCTAGACTAACTAAGCGCTGATCGAGCAGGGTGACCTTCTCATCGAGTGATGATTCCTTCCGGGTGGTAACTATTTGACACAAGAAGCACGTGCCAGTTAAAAACCTGTTGTGAATAAATGGATAGAGTGGTAAGCAAAAAAACTAAACTTATCAGAACTATGAATCCGATCACTATCCCCGAGATGCTGAACCAATTTTTCTTAAGCCATTTCCATCCGATCGCAGCCTTCCTTCCAAACGTTCCGTCATATTTTGGATTGGTGCGCCTTGCATCGTGAGAGAGTTGTCGCGGCCTGTTGGACTGAGGAGTGTACATGGCTGCAGATTCCCGCATACTAGGATACAACAACTTTCACCGGATGACTTAGCGCTCTGGCCTTCGCTGCGGAGATGCGCGCCTTCACGCCTGACAGGCAATAGTCTGATATGTAACCTACATAATTTAAAACCCTTCCCTAAGTTAGATTTATATCTCCCAATATCTCCCACATTTTTTGAGCTAGTTATTGCATTGGATTTTTCATCCTGATTCATATCTAACTTTCTGCCTGAATCTTATCCAACTTTGGTTGTTCCAAGGTAAGTGTGCCACTAAATAAAAAAATCTTACCAAGAATCTGGAGAAATTATTTGGAGTACTCCGGTCTTGCTTTGCAAATTGCTCATGCAGAAAGAAAAGGCTGGTTGCCCTTTTTTGCCACTTACACTTTATTGATCAAACACTTTTTTCTCTAATGCACAGTAAACAATCCTTTTTTGCCCAAAAATTGGTCTGACAACCTCTACATCAGGGGGGTTTGACTGAATATGCACAAAATTGTTGGGCATCTTGTTGCCAAAATGTCACAAAAGGGACAGTATATTGTATTCTGGTAGGCCAAGAAAATGACAGTATGGAAAACAGGCAATATGAAAAAAAAGACCGTCGCAAAGATCAACTCTGCAAAGTAGTACTTTTTCATTCATCAAAAATGGTGGGTTCGAGTCGCAGTCCTTTCCTTTTTTCCGCAGACAGGGAACTCAGCCACAAACTTCCATAACAGTCCTGAGGAAGTTGACGTGGAGTTACTACCAAACCTCCAAGTGGAGCCTCGGCCCCCCGATTGAGACGTTTCGCTGGCTTTCTACCAGCTCTCGATTTCGTACGAATTGTTTTGGTAAGCTCGTCAATTCGTTCAACCAGCGCAGTCGCCTTGTTACTACGCCACACAGGCGCATGTCTTATTCTGGTGTCGCCTGAATCCGAGTCGGATTCATCGGAAGAACAAAGACGTTCATCCCGAAAAAGATGGCGATATTTATGAAGCTCAGGAATTGCGCAGGATGTCTGATATCGTCTCTCAGCCAACTGGGGAAGCAGGAAAATCACCAAGGTATTCACCGAAAAAAATAGAAGAAACGTTTTCTTACAGCTACCTGTCGGGCATATCTCCGATCTTTCTGCTCGTCAGATTCTCGCAATCTCCTCGCTCTTAACGCTCCATCTTCAGAATCGTTCGGCCTGTCACAGTTATCGGATAAAGAAGCCAGATGGCTCCCGCCTCTTGCACGTTTCAAGTCTTTCGTCATTTCGGTGATACGGTAGTTCAGGTTCATTTGAATCAGAGTCTCGGCTCTAGCCAATCCACCATCGTGCAAGTCGTAACCGGACCGGAAAATTTGGCCGTAGTCACCGGATACTGTCGCGCGGTAAAATGTGTCATGGCAGAAGGCGGCGGTCCTGCGGTTCCATTCGAGCGCCTTGGGATTTTCAAGAGAAATACTGAGTCCCACAAATGGAAGCCCGTATTGCTTGATACGTTCAAGGCAATATGAAGCGAAACCGTCGCCCATTTCGTCTTCGGGATCCCAAGTTTTGACCACCTTCTTTATTTTGTAAGGGGCAGAGACAGGCAATGGGGCTGAGCCCCCTTCCAACTCAGGCAGACTTATTAGTTCTTCTGGTGTGGGTGAGCGGGGAAAGGCATCTTTCTGCCTGGGAAGTCCCATTAGAATGCGGATGTGCGCTTGTACTGCTTTGGCCTGAAAGAACATATGTATGCCATATCAATATATTAGATCAGCTCTTTGTCTTTCCTATTGATTAGACTCACTAAGTTTATATCATCGTCTTTTTCGGAAGGTTCCATGTCCTCGCGCTCCTTTCGCAAACTTCTTCTTTTTGGTCTACTACTCTTATTATTTTTGTCTGCGCGGACAAATTTTTGGTGTTTAGTGAGTTTGTCTGGTGTAAGCGGTCGGCGCGAGGTTGATGGGTTATTTCGGGGAGGCGAGGAATCAGATTCTTCATCAGGGTCGCTATGTACACCCAAGTTTGCGCGGTTGTGGTATTTTTCTTTTGCCTGTTGGACAGGCTTTGGCCGAAACTCTCGGCGCGAGGTTGATGGGTCATTTCCGGCAGGCGAGAGATCGGATTCTTCATCAGGGTCGCTATGTACACCCAAGTTTGCGCGGTTGTGATATTTTTCTTTTGCCTGTTGGACAGGCTTGGGCCGAGACTCTCGGCGCGAGGTTGATGGGTCATTTCCGGCAGGCGAGAGATCGGATTCTTCATCAGGGTCGCTATGTACACCCAAGTTTGCGCGGTTGTGATATTTTTCTTTTGCCTGTTGGACAGGCTTTGGCCGAGACTCTCGGCGCGAGGTTGATGGGTCATTTCCGGCAGGCGAGAGATCGGATTCTTCTTCGGGGTTGCTATGTGCGCCTAAGTTTGCGCGGCTGTGGTATTTTTCTTTTGCCTGTTGCACAGGCCTGGGCCGAGACCTTTCTGAAATGTCGTGTTGTCGATTTGTTTGATCATCGTGGTCCGATTCATGTTCGACGCCACTTCTGCGGCGAAAATGGGAACGGTCTGCTTCGACTTCAGAAGGATCTGATTCATGAATTGAAATATTGTCTGGAGAGCTTGCCACTTCAACAATTGATTTGTTTTGGCTTGAACTTTGATTTCCAGCGCAAGACTTCTTTTGGAATAAGCTCAGTAAAAGTCATAATCCCAAACATTAGTTCACCGGTAATTGATGGAATTGAGTGTATTCCGGAACTGTTTTCTTTCACAAGTCAATTCTCACCGTTTGCACTCTGATGAAATTTAAAATCTTCATGACAGTTTCTTTCAAGGGACCTATCTGGTCGGTCTTTTCAATGAGCAATCGGATTGTGGATTGAGTCGCCTCAGCAGTCTCTTCCAAGGTTGATATCTGGCCCTCGATCTGAAAATGTCAAAGCAATTAGTAATGATACGATTTGCGCAATGAGCAAGAGTTTGCCGGCTTGTGGCGCATTAATCAACGCAGTCACCAAATGAGCATAAAGGTGAATAAACTTGCCATTGATTCGCTCTGGGTATTTGTATTGCCAAGCTGGGCTACATTCTTCTCTCTGGACAACTCGGAAATGTTGTTGTCAGTGGTCTCTTGGCGCTGGGAAATCAGTTGGCATTCTTGTGTGAGCCGATGGACAGCCGAATTTGCATTGGTAAAATCGGCTTCAATTTTTTTGTTAGCATTCTCCAAGCCCAATATCCTTCCCTCAATCTAGCGGATCCAAAAAAATGATCAGAAATAATAAAAAATTGCAGACAAGAGCGACATTTGCTGACTTGAGCCTTGACTTCTATGATGGATTGAAGTTGTTTCCTTTGTTGGCGAAGTTCGGTAGACGTTTGTGCAGATTCGTCGATTACAGGCCGAAGTGCATTGCTTTGAGTGACAAGCAAAGACTTCTCAAGCGATTCTAGACCAGCACGTAAGCTGCACTGTATAGCTGAAAGGGATTCGTCGCATTTGCTTTTCTGTAGGAGATGACTTTGGTCAGCTTGAGAACTAGAAGCGCTGGATTGTAAAATGAAGTACCACAAGATCCGCAATCCTTTCAGTCTGGATTATGTCCTGATTAGTGAAAAACAAAAAAACATGTCCGTTCGTTTATTAAATGCCATAAAGAGCAGGAACTTACACTTGATTGTGTTTGCATGTTTGTATCGACAAGCTGAAGCTCGGTGTTATTCCTGGGCAAATCGGCAATATATGCCTCCAAAATTGCAACTTTATCTAGAAGCTTCCTGTGGTCCTGCGAGACTTGATCAAACTGATAGATCCGAAAAACAATTAGCCTTAAGAAGAATAAGAAGCAACTCTACTTTGCTAACTTGTGGTATTTTAGCGTTTAAGGAATCTAGCTTTTGTCGTTGAATTTCAATGTCTTGAGAGTTCTGCGTAGCCTGTTCAAGTCTGGGTTGGAGATCTTGCAGGAGTTCATCATACTTCTTTTTCTGCCGGAGATTAAGTTTGTTGTGAGCTCAAAGAGTCGCCGCCGTTATTCAAGGACATCTAATAGTTACCAGGTTTTCCATGACGGCATCAATGTCAGTTGGTGAATCGTCGATTTCCTGTAGAATGAGCAAACATTTTGTACATTCAATTCCAGAGTGACTGCAGATATGAAGTAAGACACCAAAGCTTGCCATTGATTCATGCTGCACAGTCGCTTGAGCCATCGACATCATCTGGTTTGACAAATCTGAAACAGTTCCCTTAATTGCTTCGAGCTTGCCATCGATCTCGTCTTGGCGCTTGATGACTGAATTACCTCCTCGCAAAATAGACTCAATACGGGAACCTGTCTGACGCGATGATTTTTCGAGGTGCGCCATCTGCTTGAGGATCTTGCAGATCAGAAAAAAGCGAAGAGCTCAGTATAGTATGACAGATGCAGCATTGAGCAACGGTTTTACGAACTTGTTGGCCGAGATTATGAAGTTGACTCATTTCGGATCGGTGCTTTAGGAGCTCCTCCCGGTCTTTGGAAGCTGCTTCCTGACTTGTCTGCAAAGTTTTCCGCATTAATTCAAAATTTGACTCTAAGGCTGCTGTCCGGGCCTGATTGGGGTTGGCTAAGATGTTATCGCAGGGGATAATCGTAAGTTGCCCGGTTTTCTGCAACTGACAACATGTTGTACTGTCAGCAATTGACATATCTAGTAGTCTGCATCGAATTTGACTCTTACTTCCACTTCCATGCGGCCATGCATTTCTTGCCATTTCGATTCGAGTTTGCAAATTTTTTGCACCAACTGATTGGACTATCAAAGATGATTCCTGGAATTAATGCGCGTGGAACACGTGACAAATGGCTCTTTAGGTTAGGACTTACGGCTACCGCGCTCTCTTCCAATTGTGCAAATCGTGTATTGAGATCTTTTAAAGCTGTTGCCTAAACTTAGTATCAGTGAATGTCGCACTTTTTGAGGACCAAGGACCCTGAATTATAGGGCTTACCTCGGCTTCCAGGTGGCAATACATTTCTTGGTATTTTGTTTCAAGTTCGGAAAATCTTCCTTCCAACTGGATTAACGATCAAAAGATTGCAAGATTGAGTTCACCTGGAAGTGCAAGCATTCAGACTGAAACCTACAGTTGCTACACTTTCTGCCGTTGCTACACTGTCTTCCAATTGTTTGACCTTCTCAATGAGAACCGATAAATCAGGAACCTGCGATAAATCAGGAACCTGATTTCTCAAAGCAAGTCAGATTGATTTGAAGAAGAAAAAAAGCGACACTTTGACGAACAGTAGGGGGTGGTTTTCCTTCAAATTTTGCATTAATCTGCTCCATGGACAAGTCGATACTTCTCTGAGGGAATGTTTTATTTAAGAAGTGATAAAAATATCGTCAAATTTCAAGAACATGTTCCGGTTAGGTTTTGAATGATCTACTAACTTCGATCTCATCCACCCGATTTTTTAGCCGTGCGTACCTTTCGTCTTCGAGCGATTCGGCACTTTTCCCTTTTTTTTTGCCAGGCGCCATTTCTTTCAATCGCTCTGCCTGAGGACAATCCAATTGAAAAATAACAAAAGATTAGTCGCTGGTTATTCCTCAGTGGCAGAAAGGATTCCCGAAACGTTGTCAAGCCTTGAGGATGTCTGATTAGTGGGGGTGAGTCGACGCAGTTATGTAAATGCCTACATACTCAACTGTCCGCGTGTGTAACTGGGATTCTGCAATCTTCCAAATGAGTTGCATAGTTTCTTAGCTTTTGATTGCATTCCGTTTCTTATTCTTATGTAGTTGCTGCAAGAATACGCCAGGCCTTGCAGAGACGCGCTAACATGTAAAAACTGCTTGAGCAGTTTTCTGGTCCCTCACAAATGTGTTTTCTTTGCTTGATGTTTTGTTCTTTTGTTGTGCTTTTTTGCTGATGTTACCATATAAATTCTTACATGCAGGTCTTTCCTTACATATTTAATAATTTTTTGAATTTTTAATAATATTTGTTTTTCTATAGTAAATAGAAAGGGCCTTGGCAAGTTAGTTGACTAGTAAGCTAGGAAAAAATGAATACAACATTCAACAACACAAGGCTTTAGTAGAAAGGGGTTGACATAGCCCCCACATGAGCAGCAGTAAGATGAATTTGGAAGTTTCCAGGTATGCAAAAACTTTCAGTCTAATTTTGCAAAGTACATGATTGGCGCACAAGAGAAAAAAATATCCAAATGATTACAATTCTTATTCAAGAGTCTGGTAAAGAGGAACCAAGCGCTACAGACATGTTGGATCTGGATTAGTATAATGGCTAGTGATTTGAAAGCAAGCTCAATGAATAACTCACCTTTTTGCTCAAATCAACTACTAGAAGAGCTTTTCTCTTAATACCTAAACATCCTTGGGGTAATTTCCAAGCAGCCCCATGGCCAATGATTGCGTCAAGTTGTATGTAGTCATTCTTGGCCTTGGTATCATATACAATGTGAGCTCGCACATGGGGCCAATTTTCAAACTGATGTTTGACTTGATCACCAGGTGTCAGGTTTTTAAACCGCTTGACCTCAAACCAAAGTTGAATTTGAGGTGGTAAATCTTTCCTTTCCGAACAGCTCATGGTGAATATCTGACTTATCTGGCCACAAACATTTTGGGCACTGCCGTCGTTCTCGTCGATACGATATAAGATAGTGCTGTTCCCAATGTGTTGGGCGGATGTTGTGTAGTTTATATGTCCAAACGCGATTGATTTCTGCTGGTGAACTAGCCTTGGGACCAGAAGTAAAGTTTGATCTTGGTTCTGCGATTTGTAGACACTAGTACATAGAGCTGCCTGACTAGTGAATTTCCGCTTGAAGCTGCGCAGAAGTTGCTCATGGGTTTTCAAGTCTAAGGTTTCAAGCTTCTGAGGATTGTATGGGAATTTTGAAGTCGTTTCGGGTCGGTTCATGGCTTGAGAAAACTGGCCTACGCTTTTGCCGGGGGTGAGAAATTTTAGAAGAGATTGAGACGTTTGAGCTGGGAGATTTTGACACAAATGCGGCAGAAGATTGCGGAAGTTTTGGGCCGTCACCCATCTTGTTAACAAGGTCAGATCACGTGATTCTAAAGTTGAAATAAATAGTTAGATGTCTTGTTTTTGGGCATTATATGAAAAAAAAACTTACCAAGATGATTGTTTGTCGGTATCGAAGCTAGTGAGCCATTCAACCTCTCAAATGACCATGCTGTCCACTGTGGTGCTGGACCAACCTGGAGAAGGCAATCAGGAAGATGTAGAGCGTAGTGGTGGTTTGGCTTTGTAGAAAAAGATGGGAATAATTCCAAAAGCCCTTGCCGATAGGCTTTGAGATGAACGTGTAACGCTTCAATGTCATCATCGGTTATCTCTAATCTGCGGACAATGTTTGTTATACTGCTCAGATGAAGCAAGTTTTTGAAAACGTCAATCTGGAAGGGGTCGCCGGAGTTTTCGTGTAAGATGCGAATTAGAGTTGGAATCATTATGATTTCAAACAATATGACCCACTCGTCTGCCTTGAGCTTTCCTCCCTTTGCACTGCCGATCGTTGACGGCACACGACCGATCCAACTTGGGAGTGTGAATTCAGTATTCACCTCACGCAGTATTCGAAGGTACTTGTCCTTGGCGAAAAACCTTGCGCCAAGAGGGTTGATTTCAGTAGGAATCTCACAGTCAATGTGTGCAGAACGTCGGTGGTGTGAGGAGCCCGTTTTGGAAACAGAAAGCTCTGATTGAGTTGACTCGGGTTCGGAGTCTGAAGAAAGATGAAGATTTTGAAAAGTTTCAAGAAAGTCTTGGATGCCTTTGGTGTCGTTTTGCTTGCCTTCACAGTCAGTGTTTGCTTCTTTGCAGGAGCGTGCTTCGGAGCTAGCAATTTCGGAACCCTCGGGACTATTCTCGGAACCCTCGGGACTGTCTGATTCGGAACTGCTCTCAGAATCTGAACAAGCATTCTTTGCCGGATTGATCTCAGAGCTTTTGAGTCCAAAGAGAGCTTGGCCGTGATGTTTCAGTAAACCAAGAAAAATATTATGCATAGGTTCGACGATGGCGTTTGAAAGGGGATCAAAGTACGGTAATTCGAACAGTATAGAATAACGAACTCCGTAAGTAGCGAAAATTTCCTTGCGTTCTTTAAGAGTAGTTGCGCTATTCCAATTGCTTGCTTGCCTTCTGAGAACACGAGCTTTTCGTGGATGCATTCGATCTAAATCGACACGGTCGATCCTTTTCTTCGTCACTCGGCAGAAAGAACACATATTTTTATCCGAACTATGGCCTGCCATTCCCAGTACTTTGCGAATGGCCGGCAGATCGCAAACTATAGGCCCAAGCATAACTTTTATGATGCGGCCATTGGGAAAATTTACCGTCGAGTCAAATTTTACACCCGTCCAGAGTTCCTTGAGTTCATGTACTAGAGGTTTCAGCACATGGTTTATTTGAAGGACAGTTGGTTCCGAGGGTCCAGGTATCAATCCAGCCAAAAAGATGTTGTCGTGAGAAGATCGAAGGTGAGGTGGCAAGTTCATACACACCAACGCAATTGTGCCAAGAGATATGTGCTTCCCGGCCGTCTTGTTTCCAGATGGGTTGAACCAGTCGACATTCAACGAAAAAACAAGGTTTCCTGAATAGCTAGTAAATTGTTCGCCTTCGGAAGTTTTGAGAGTTTTCCACATATTGGAATCCCAAATATCGCTCATAGAGGAACTATCTCCAGTTGGTGAACGCGATTCTTCGAGAAGGTCTTCTATTCCAGGTCGTGTCAAAAAACGAGCCAGCCAGCCAGTAAATGATTGAGTAGAGAAGTATCGACGGATTTTTGGGCAGCCGGAGTTAAGAGTATCTGTTTTGTACAGTGGTTCGAGGCATTTTCGGCTTCTGCGTGTGGCTCGGGCCGTACACGCGTGAGGAGAGGCGTCAACTGGATAAAGGAAGAAGCACCGGGGGCAGCAGATTGTCCTTGTGATTTCTGGACCCAAATTCAAGTCCTTTATGATTGTTCGGATATCCCCAGGCATATACGATTGCTGGCTTTGGACCACTGAGTCTGATAGCATACCTTTTAGACAGGCAAGTGTGGAGGTTGTAGCCTCGGAGCTCAAGTGAAGGAAAAAGTATTGGCATGCGGCTAAAAGCACCCTCGACCGGCATTGGGGGTGTGCGATTGTGGTAAAATAGTTGTAAAAGGCAGCGAATTTTTCTGTAATTACACGTCATTAGATTTTCTTTGTCTTCAAGACATTTCTTCTTCTATTGTCTTCAGGAGTCGATTGAAAATGCAACGTACCATTACACCGGACGGTTTTACCCTTCCATAACGCGACTTGGGGATCCGGATTTGGAAGCGCTGGCCTAGGTCCCTGAGATTCTTGACTGACTTGGGGTGTTGCGGGTTGCGGCACATTTCGGAGCACTCGATTCGTGGCATTCGTGGGATGCTTCCTGTTTGCACGCCTGGCTCGATCGCACGCATCAGAACGGCATGTCGATACTTTGGCTGGGTGGGTCCCTATGTGTTTTTTGTAAGTTGATGAGTTTTTGTTCCATTCGCGGCCCAAGACCTTCTTTCCTTCTGCATCGACGTAGCTTAGTTGAGCACATTTTCTGCATCGGCAAAGTATCCAAAAGGCGGGCGCCATGGTCGAGAGCTTGGTTGGTTTGTCGGAAATTGGATGCAAGATGCCTCGCAGTGCATCACATGACGCACTATTGCAAGCTATTGCATGTTGCGTCCGGGTCCCTTCCCCCCGGCCCCCGAGGGTGGTAATCACCCCCTGGAAAATCGAATACAGCAAGCCAATTTGCAACAGATTACTTTGTCCTTCAAGCAAGCGATAGTGCTCGTATCCGTCTAGTTTGAGTTATACCCGAAGCTGACGATGTCCGCCAAAACTATTCGTTCAGCAGCGATTCTCGGCTGCTACTTCGATCGTTTACCATCTTACTCAAGTCGAATCGGCCCCACACGACCTGGATTCCCAACAGAATGATTGCTCCAATTCGAAGGACTTGAACTATACGCTCAAACGGCTCGTGCGTGGATTAGCGAGCCCAACTCCGCTCGTCTTGGATTTGCTGAATGTGAAGTTGGTACCTCACGCTCGTCAAGCCCCATGGCTCTCAGAAAGCGTCGGCTCGGTACTCGTCTCGGACATTACTACCAAATTTTGGAACACCGGAACACCCTGGGTCGGCCCTTTCTCAGTCTGGCGCCTTGGATCAAATTACTGCAATGCTACTCATGAATGCCGAGACATTGACGTTGGAACAGTTATCGTTGGTCATATTACTTCAGCAGCATTCTATCAAACTCAACTGGGAATCGATATTGTCGAAGACTTTTACATCCTCATCTCCGCCTCTCAGTCGACTAGCAATTTCAACTTGTCAAAATTCTATAATCACATCTTTGAACGCTACTATTTCGCCACCAAATCCAGCCCTTCTCGTAGATCACATGGATTCCTTATTCTCAACAAAAATCAAAGTTCATTTTGGACCGAGAGAAGCCGAATTTTCTCACCTTGAATTGTGTCCACACTCTACAGGTGCAGCTGGCCGCCACAGATCGCTTGCTTCCGAAGAACGCAAAACAATCAGCTCCACAATCTGTCGCATCTAATTTGATCTCGCAAGTGGATCCGAAGAATGCAAAACAATCAGCTCTTGCGAAAGGAAATTTCCCAATTGCTCCGGCTGCCGACGGCTGGATCTCAAACACGTCCTAATCTGTGTCTGTTCGATCGATTGGAACGGTTCTTTAGTCATGACAAGCCTCAATATCACCCGACAAGCAACCCGACTCAACTCCTTCAACTACACCTCTTCAACACGAGTATCGCCCAACTGGACGTACCGCGCCTCGCATTCGCTTCGAGTCAAACCTCGACTGATCCATTCGGGATCTAATCCCTCTCCGCCACCACCCAAAAAACGGGAACTTGTCGACATCGCCCTCATTGCTGCTGGTTTCTTTTCGATCGGAGCTACCGTCCTTTGGTCCATTGGCTTCAATCCAATAGACAGAAGAAAGTGGATGACCCTCTATTTGGGGCCGTACAAAGCGGAGAACAATTCGAAATCCCGATCGCCAGCCAGTGAGTACAGTGAGTCTTTAGTCAATCCTACAATTAGCTATGATAAAAAAATACGCATCATCGTCATTCATCGTCGCTAGTTTTTCAAACAAAAAGCATGGAACTCATCTCATGCATTGCTACTGTTTTAATTCAGTACTGGCTCTCCTGGTGCCAAGAAAATGTTGACCATGTTATCGACTCAGGAGGTGAATCAGCATCCCTCAATCTTATCCTCTAAACAGCGGGTCTTGGCTAAGAATCAAGTCGCGGTGGCCGATCAAGTGGAAGTAATCTGCCCTCCCGGAGGTTTCACGCCCACCGCGCATGATCCTCAAGTGTCTTCGCGCATGATCCTCAAGTGTCTTCGCGCATGATCCTCAAGTGTCTTCGCAACAATCTTTTATTTTTGAAGACACAAACCTAACTTTGCCACTCACCTGATCCGCAATGCTCTTGGAGGTGCAACAGCAGAGATAATGATTGGGTTGTCGGGGAAGGAATAACAAAAACAAAACCTGAATTAATCGGAATCTCAAGGCTTTAAAGTAATGTTGACATTTAGTTCGGCTTTATTTGACATGAAGCTACAAGATCTTCGTAGCTTGTCCCTCATAAGGCTTTATTTCATGTTCCTTCTTGAACGCCTACTCGAAATCAGAAAACTCGTGGTAAGGCGATCTTACCGCTTGAGGTTTGCTCGTCTTGGTGCACTGCACAACGAAGCAGGAGGAGGTCATGAGCAACAGATGTGCCACCACCTAGACTTGTATTTCTGCGGGTCGAGAAATTTCCAAGGAGTCTTTCTTGAGAGAAGTTAGCAATGCATTGTGCACATGATGGGAGTGCTGTGAGTGGGGGATCATCATGACATTCTGCAGCATTAATCAGACTACTACTGCAAGTGGAAAGAAAATGTAAGACATAACTACTACTACAAGTGGAAAGGAAAAAGAATGCAACACAAGAAATACAACACCGAGCTGATGTACCAAAACCTGTCATGATTGTGGGACAATTTCTGTTGGTGTTTATGTGAGGGATTTTTCAGTTTTGAGTATACTTCAGAGAGAAAAGGGGGGCATAGGGAGTCGACACAGTCAGAAAACCAAGAGAAGCCAGAAAACAAAGAAAGAAGACAGATGGGAATGAAAAAAGTAGCAATTCAAGTAACATGAGATCTCATGATGGATGGTCAGCAAGAGAAATCATGAACCATGATGTAGAACCTGAGAGGTTTTCATTCCTGGCCACTGCGTCCAGGGATTGCATGATCAATTTGCTGAGACAGGGAAAAGGACTAGTCAGTATGGCTCTGGAAACCCCATTTTTGATAACAACTAACAGGAGACAGGGAGATACGTCTGCCAAGGGTGTCTGGTGGGTCGATAGCTAGCGGCGTGAGACCCGGTTGAGTGCGGTCCATGTTCTTGGTCAAAAGCGCTGGATTCGGTGCTTCCATAGGATCCCGTTGAAGTATGATGGACGGGATGGACGGGTGAATTAGACATTCGTTGATTGGAATACTTTGGTTGAACGGACTTCTTGGATTTCGGTTTAAGGTCATAAGACGAGAGACTGTAGATATTTTGACAACGATGGGTTCGCGTATCATTTCTACCTCGGGAAGCACCAGATTGGTTTACTGTTTGATAAGGTTGATCAAAAGATGACGGAAACGTTTTCGGAGGGGGTGATTTGGTTTGAGGAGCAGAAGCTCGAAGTGGAGAGGTGATAGATCGACGGCTTGTACGGTCACCTTGTGGAACATGAGGAGCGGATGCGATGAATCGCTTGCCGGGTGGGGCGGGATGCAAAAGAGACTCCCTCAATTTACGAGTCTTACTACTTCGAGTCATCACAAAACAAGTTTATGTCAATTATCAGAGAAGTCAGAGTGGAAGGAGGAATTATGAGAGAAGTCAGAGTGGAATATCACACTGGTGAAGGCTCTGACAACGATATTGGACACAATTTTGTGAGAGTAATTGCAATGCTTGTTTGTCCATGCCCTTGCTGACTGTGGATATGTGGATATTGTTACAGCTTGTGGCCTTGGATACTACAAACCAAGCCCGCAATCAATGTGTGCGCAGATATCTGATGGATCGCAAATTCTGCTTCGGTCTCAACCCAGAGACTGGGCGACATGGTCACCCGTGTCATGCGGATTATCCAGCGGAGGTAATTTATAACTCTAGTATGCCTGTCCCTCAAATAAACTATTCGGAGCAACTACAACCACAGTTTTCTGTTAATCCTTACAAACAAGAAAAATATCAGGAAAAAATATTATGAAGAATCTCATAAATTACCCATCCCTTTTTTTCAAACTCCAGTTGAGGTTTGCCATCTTTTTGAATAGTCTATGGCCCCAAGTAATACAGAGATTCCCGTGTGGATTCCAAACCTTCTCCAATGTTGAGAGTGCGGCAGTAGGTTGCCCCAAACAGGTGTATCCTTCGGCAAGACTTAGGTGAAGCTCAACTAGGAGGTCTTTGAGGTCTGTGTCCAGATTGTTCACGTCGATGGGAAGGGAAGTGAGGGTTTTCGAAAGGAGTTGCACAGCCGCCTCGTGTTTTCCATTGCAACTCATGGTATGACTACGCCGCTGCACAATTTTGAGATTGCGGCCAAGTCCCGGGATCTCAGGTCCCTGGAAAGTCTAAAAGCAAAGGGAATGAGATGTGACCCGGGTGAGCAAACCCGATGCACTCGAATGAACTCAAGAGACTTGCCTTGATGGCATCCTGTACCTCGGCTGATCTTCCTTTTATTTCAGAATAGAGACTAGCGAGTTCGTTGAAAAGTGCATGGCCCCACCCTATAGCTGTTCCGGATTTTATATCATGTAGTTCTTGTATTGTAATTCGAGCCTGGTCGAACTGACTCAAAGCGATATAGCACCGTGCTAATTTGAAAATCGATTGGATAATGATAAGGCTGCCGCCCTCCTTGATGGAAGACTTCCACCAAGAACGATTGCTCAGAAACGTTTTGTACTCATTCGCCGCCGCTGAGTAATCACCGGTCGTATAATAATGGTACGCCATCGATGATCTCTTCGAAAGGAGATTGCAAGCTTCGTGATCCATTCTAATTCGGCATTTCTGTTTCACCCACGGAATAAGCAAGTGAGACTCCCGCAAGGAAGACAATTTGCTCACTGACCATGAATTCCAATCTCCGAGATTTACCGGGCGGGTAAGGAAACTCCAAGTCTTCTGCAGGCCGTTTTGAAGCAGTGGTTTGTAGTACTGAATCACTCGTGGAACGGCTCCTTACTGTGTGGTTGTATGATTGAGGTGAATGATTGACTTGAGAAGACATATTCCTTGGGAAGAAAAAATTAGGATGTCGCCAAGAAGCGCGGGAAGGGTAGGAGGCTAGCTACGAACACCTGGGCGTAGCGAAATCCAAGGTGAATACGAACTCAGAATGCGTAAAGGATTTTCGCTCAAGACTTTCTTTGTAGTCAAGCTGGCGACAGCTTAGCTTCAAGCCTTGCGCGTGACTTGTGCTGCTCACAGTGGGCTATGTACATACACATTCCAAGTTCAAAGAGTTGATTCAACGAAAGAAATATGTCAAACATTAGACTGGGTGACGTCCTTCGCGGCACTAGGTAACACTTATGAAGATCATGCAACTCAGCAAGAAGAGCCGCGAAACCTTCGAAAACGGGCCCACATAAACCGCTGCCGGCTGGATGGAGGCCGTCAAACCAGATCCAGGAATCAAGCCAAAACGGCGCAGGTACCGTGTGTGGAATGTTGTCCCAGAGTAAACATCGAGCAGAGCACATCACTGACTTTGATGGCTCTCTTTCTTCCCAGGGATCCCTCGTAGCTGCGATAAATGTAGGATTAGTAAAGTGAAATGTGTCCTTGAAGTAAGTCCACTCTCCCCTCTGCCTTCATAAATCTCTGTCCAACCTATGTATCTCATCTTTTTTCTTCTCAGAATGACCGTTGTAATAATTGCGTCAGACTTGGTGTAACGTGTACGTTTGCCAATCCAGGCAGTCTGAAGGAGAGACCACCAACACACAAGTAGGCGTTTTATTTTCTGCCATAGATCGTTTCAATCATTCAAAACTTATGAATGTGCATTCCATTCCCCAAAATATTACTAGAGATGTCGAGCAGCTTAAGGCCCATGTCAGATCTTTGGAGCGCTTACTCCACGCCGTGGATCCTTCACTTGACCTCAATAATCTACCGGATCCCGATCGGCTCGTTGCAAGCTCAAAAGCAGTGCCCCAGCGTTCCCTTAGACCACTCGCTGGCTCATCATCTCAACCAGAGCTTCACACCGTTGAAAGTAATGCACAAGACTGTTTCGACTCTCAGCTTTCGACCGTTCTGAGCGCGATCCAAGGTTTGCAAATCGAAGCAGAACCTGCCGTGACACACATCCATTGGACGCAGTCAGACAAGACCCAACCAATGTCCAGATTCGTTGGGGCCTTGATCGCGCCGGACCAGTATATCGGCCCTAATTCGGTCTTCAGCGTGGCCGAAGCAGCAGCATTTGGGGTCCCCAAAATGCCTCCTTGGGACTATGGCACACAAGGTCCGGTCGATGAATATCTCCGCCTTCGTCACAAGGAATATCTTTCGAGCGCGAAACGCTTCTATCCGGAGCCTGACTTGGAACAAGCTCTTATCACGATCTACTTCGAGAAGTTCCACCCTTCCGTCCCAGTCATCCATCCGACCACGTTCCGTGACCTTCATATATCGGGACTTGCGCAGACCAATCCTACCTTCAGAGCCCTCTGTTTGCTCATGTTTGCGATCGCTAGCAGATGGTCGACTGATCCTAGGGTCCAGCTCGACTTGGCCGGAATCTCGCTTGGTGCACACGATCTCCCGATCTCCTGGATCTTCGCTGAGCGGGGTCTGCTCCTTGCACAAGTAAGCTCAATCGGGTTTCTTTTCCACCGCTTTCAAAAAAAAAAAAAAAGATGAACAAAAAACAAAAATGACCAAGTCAACAAAATCAACAAACAAACAAAAAAAGAAAAGCGTTACGGCGTGACTAGGACTAATATTATTTTTGTCTTACTGCCAGGAATGCGGCGCTCATTGTGAAGTGCACTATCTTTGGAACGCTGATCCTCTCCAGGACTATCTACGCCGTCAAGCGTTTTTTCAACTGTACAAATTCTTGTTCTTTTTTGGTTGCCACTGTGTTTCCTGCATCTCCTGTGCTCCGTCTACTTTTACTGTGGTGTGGTTGTTGCATCGTTTTTGTGGTGCTGTTGTATGAGCAACAGAATGTGAACAGTGACCAAACGCAAGCTTGGAGTGGTCCCACCAAAGCTAGGATACTACATACATGTGAATTGCTGTGGATATGACTCATAAGTCACCACAGAAGATGCAATGAACTGTAGCAGAAAACACATGGTCACTTTTTTTATCTCTGACAAGCAGTGCACTGGGCCAGCCAATTGCTCCCAATTGGTCAAACAAAATGTTGTGGGGTGTGCAGTTGCAGGCTTGGATCCCCCATCAAATAATGGAGCTGACTCTCATTCGTAGGAAAAGAAAAAGGTACCTGGACCACCGGTCAGCGGTATGCCCATTTACAAAATTGTCGCAACAATCCTACTTGAGAACTTCAGTAAGTGAGCAGAGAACCATCAAATTCTCAAGTCTCCTTGAAAAGTGCAGGGTTCTGATTCTCAAGTCAGTTTGAACAGTGCAGCTCTCAGGCTGAGTTTAAGACTGCAGAATCTGGGTCTTCAAGCTGTGGACTTCTCACAGGCGACTTGCAGACCAACCGCACGTCTCAAGTTGAGCAGAAGATTAAACCAGCAATTGTTTTCGAGTCGACTCAGTTGATAATTGGACCATCTTTCAACTCAGGAGGATGAATTGCAAACCCCGTTGGTACTGAGAACGACTCCAAAGTTCCTTGGAGTTGGAGTCCACCCGTGGTGTGGGGCAAGGCAGTGCTCCATCGACCGGGGCGAAGAGAGCTGGAGATCCCAGCATCGGAAAAGGTTGAAAAGAAAAGGGACACATCTATTATTTATGTGCAAGCGCTGCCGGCGAGAGTCAGATGAACGCAATCACCCCAGAACCAGAAAGCGCGCCAAAACGGCGAAGGTATCGTATGTTGCTCACTTCTGCTGGGGCTAGGATAAACGGCGAGCACTCACTCTCACTCGATGTCTTTCTTTCTTCACAGGGATCCCTCGTAGTTGCGATAGATGCAGGACTAGTAAGGTGAAATGTGTCGTCGAAGTACGTCCACTGTCTTTCTGCACATGACCACCGTATCTCAACTCATTATGATTGCTCTTACTTGCAGAATGATCGCTGTATCAATTGCGTTAGAATTGGTGTCAAGTGCACGTTTGCCAATCCAGGCAGTCTGAAAGAGAGACCACCAACGATCAAGTACGCGTTTTTTTCCCTCAAAAGAAGGAACTGTTGTTGTCTCAGAGCTGAGCATCCATCCACGAAAATACTTGCAGAGAGGCCGAGCAACTTGAGGCTCATATCAGATCTTTGGAGCGACTCCTTCACGCGGTGGACCCTACCCTTGACCTCAACAACTTACCAGATCCTGACACGCTCGTTCCAAACTCACAAGATGCGTCTCAGCTTCCCAGTCTATTCCACGCCACCCCAGCATTTCAACCAGAGCATCACGCCGCTCAAACTGCTCCAGAAGAGCGCCATGAGTCTCAGCTTTCGGCTGTTCTTAGTGGGATGCATGGTTTGAACATCACCGCGAGGCCTGCTGTCACAAACATGCATTGGACTCAGTCAGACAAGACTCAGCCGATGTCCAAATTCCTCGGTCTCGTCGTCTCCCCGGACCAGTACATCGGCCCGAATTCCGGGCTCAGTATGGCCGATCCATCGTCGCTTGGGATTCCCAAACTGCCTGTCTGGGACTTTGAGACCCTAGGTCCGGTGGATCAATATCTGCGTCTTCGCCATGATCGATATGTCTCGAGCGCGACCTGCTTCTATCCGGAGCCTGACTTGGAGGAAGCGCTGCTGACGATTTACTTCGAGCGTTTCCACCCATTCGTCCCGGTCATCCATCCGACCATGTTTTGTGGGCTTCATAGGTCTGGACTGGCGCAGAGCAACCCCACCTTCAGAGCTCTTTGTCTGCTCATGTTTTCCATTGCTAGTGGATGGTCATCGGATCCTAGGGTCCGGCTCGACTTGGCCGGCAGACACCAGCTCGCCCCGGAATTCGTGGGAGTCCGCTTCACCCACGCTGGGCTTATGTGTCTCTTTCAACCCGGCTACGATCGCGCAACCCTTTTCCATTTGCAGGCGTTTGTCTTGTTGACAATCGTCTCGCTAGGCGCACACCAACTCCCGATCACCTGGATTTTGGTTGAGCGCGGTCTGCTTCATGCACAGGTCAGTCAAACGGGTTTCAAACAAACCTCTTCAATCGCTTTGATTGATAGATAAAATAACTGGGCAAAAGTCGAGAGAACCGCCCAGACGTAACTACTACTAATTCTTAGTTTTTTTTTCCCCATTGCCAGGAATGCGGTGCTCATCGTGAAGTGCACCATCTTTGGAACGCTGATCCTCTTCAGGACTATCTCCGGCGTCAGGCTTTCTTTCAGCTGTACGAAATGGCTTACAGGACTAGCTATTCGTTGGGAAGGGCGCCATTGGTGGAATATGATGACTTTGATCTCCGTCAGTGGCGCTTTATCATTATCCTCCTATGATATCAAGATCAATGACCAGCTCATAAGCAATGATCACCAGAAGCTGACCAATGTGTCGCCACAGAACCAACTCATGTCCAGCGTGGCGATCCGCTGGGCATCTTTACGAACCCATATTCGAGGATCAGTCCAGCCGTCCATCAAGCACATGTGGCATTCGATCAAGTCAGAGCATCGCTGTTGGAACTCGGCTCGCTCAAGTATATGATGCGCCTGTTGTTCAAGATGCAAGCGGATTCGAAAGCGCCCGCGGGAACCGAATCGATGAAAACCTTGAAAGCATTGGTCGACCAGCTCGACCTGAGTGCTAGGAAATGGTTCGATAAGGTCCCTCCGATCTTCAAACGCGTCGACCTCAATGCTCCGGCCGAGATTTTGATTTTCTCGGTGTTGGTGATTGTGTGAGCTATTCTGGCACCCTCGTTAATCCTTGGAGACCGACTGACGAGCTTGGTCTACACATTCTCCATTTGCCTGTGATTTGTGAAGTCACTATTCACAGTTTCAGATGTTGATACACCAGACGTTATTCCACTACCAAGACAACGAGCTGCCAGCCGCCACCCAACCGACGAGGGACATGAATCCGCACATCGACCGGTTCGTTGAGTTTTCGATGCTGTCCATTCAAGCAATGGACGCCCTGCGCCTTCGGGGACTGCTCACAAAGGCGTTCCATTGGCTGCCGTTCGAAATCATGTTTGCCGTCATCCTCCTGGTCTGCGCTACCAGGAAACAGAAAGAGTCGATCGGCCCTCTGGAACTCAAAGTCAGGCGCGATAATATCCTGCTGGTGATCGCGATTCTGGACGAATTGGCCTCTAGGTATGGAGCTTATCTTTTTTTTTCTTCCATTTATTCTTGTCTGTTGCTTAAAGCAATATTGGTCCTTGACTAGTTGACATATTAGAGAGAAAAAAATCAAATGCTTTTGATGTCAAAATGATGGATTTATCACTTACCGAAATAAAACCGAGTTTTACATGATCTGCTTATGCGGCACATTAATTCTGTCTTGATCTGACTCATCTCTATGTATACGTGGGTCATTGTTTCACTGGGTCAATCCTATACATGAGTTTAATGCCTAGTGCATTTATGAAAGGGTCCCTTTCTCTTTGCAAAAATGAAACAGGCCGATGACTAGTGAAGACATGAATGACATAGAGATGACAAGAGTTGTTTCTTTAGTGATTTGCTGAGGCCACACAATTATCAAGAGACTACTACGAGTTGAGAGGTTTTTATTACGCTTCTTCTAAGGCGCTCTATGGCAAAATATACATCATTCACTGTTGGATTCATGGACCCAAATAATCCGAATCTGCGGGAACCGGTCATGCCTGAATCAACGATCAGTGGGAATATAGCACGTGACCATGTGCTGAGACAGGAAGATGCCTCACCTTTGATTCAGACATGATCCTCAGAGGATACAGGTTCATCCACCGTTGGAACCGGCGTGGATGGATCAATATTTGGCCCTGGTCCCACATCGTCCGCGTTCTCCCTCTCCCGCCTCTCTTCCTCGGCGATTGTGCGAAGCATCTGCCTTTCAGTTAAGATGGTTCGCTCGGCCCTTTGAATATTTTGTTGGGATCTTGCGATGTCCTGCTCGGCCACCCAAATTGCCCGGTGATGCGCAAGTTTTACCTCGTTCCGATTATAGACGATCCGATTGCGAGCTGGGGCCTCTTCCCCTTGTGCTGTGATTCGATCTGAGATGATAAGCCGTCGGAATTCACATACTCGGTGCCACCAAAGCCCATTTCTGTGCGCCGCCCAGTGTTGCTCAGCCGCTAGTATTGCCAAAAACGCTGACCGAAATTGATCATCGTCTTCCCAAGCCTCCGGATCAAGTCCATCCAAAGTTCGTACCACTATGGTTCTGATTTGAAGTTCATATGACGCCAAAGTCCCCGGCATCGCATCTGGACCTGGAGGAGGAATCCCCGCGGCAAGATAAAGGCTTGCTTCCTCCTCCTCGTCTAAACCTTCGAAAATTTCGCATTGTTTGATCAAGGTGGTCACGGCGGCGCTAGTAACGTTGGTACACAAATTTTCAACTAAGCTTGTTAATGCGCCCATACCGTTGTTGAGGCTTCTGTTAGACTCGGGAGTTGGATTGTTGAGGCTTCTGTTAGACTCGGGAGTTGGATTGTTGATGGGTGGCTGGGGTTCTATACCGGACATCTAGATGGGTATGATTGTTCATTTAGTACACGTCAAAAAAGGGGAGAATAATGATGAATCAAACCCACTTTCAGGAAATTTTTCAAGTGATGGATCAGGGTTAGGAATATTGCAAGTTCCCAAGATTGTTGAATGCGAGGGATTTGGGATAGAACGCTAGTCATCCATTTCCACTATGTGAGTGTTAGCGAAAACGTAAGCTAGGCCTTGTGACTTGACCCAGAAGAACATGCTAGATTGGCGGCGAAAAGCTTCGCTAATCTTCCTAAGGGCCCACTTGAGAGGTTGAAAAAAGACGTCCATACTTACATCTCTTCCAGCTAGCTTGGCCATAGCTTTACACAATGGCATTGGTCCAACGCAATACCCACGAACGTATACTCGCTTTCTCAAAAATTCTTCAAGCCATTCGAGAGGATGACCTGTGGACGGCTGCTTGGTGTATGTCAAAGTTCCTTAAAACACCACACGTCCTATCACCTAGCGAAAGGAAATTGTTACAAGACGACTACAGTTACCGAATGAACCGCGTTCGAGACGCCACCAATCTGCTCGAATCACTTGCGTTTAAACATGCCAAGGAGGACCACGACGACTGGCTCGAAAAGGGAAATCCGTTCCCTGCGGTTGAAGAAGCGAGCTTCAGGAAACACGGAGGAAATCCAATTGATCGACTGCTTGACGAGATCTGTACCTACAGTCGATCGGCCGGTTACTTGCGCGCAATCATCAACATGAAGGTCAGGCTGCCGCCGCTGACCTCTGCAGAGGATGGGGTCGAGGTATTTGAGCTGGAGGCGATGGGACCAAGCCCCGGCGTCAAAAATGTTGAAAAGTAAGTCTCTAAGAAGCGCTCCACGGAACTTCCTAGTCAGGAAAGAAATACTCACTGAATTGGGTTTCCGGACCAGCTTGGATGTCTCGGAGCTTGACTGGGAAATCATCCGCCACGAGGAGGTTTGTCAAGGAGCTTATCAGGGCCAACAATGGACGACACCAAATATTTGATTGATAAGGACTAACTATTTGGGATCATCAACACCAACCCAGTTGATCCGTCCAAACAGACCATTTTCTCCACTTTAACTCTCCAACTACAACATGGTTTTTCAGAAGATTGTATGTCAGGGATAGGATACATATTTATGTGATGCAATCGGCAAGGATGTTTTTAATCAAATGACACAACCTTGTCTCTCACTCACGACCACAAGTTATAATAGTTAGAGTTAGACCACCTTTTATACCACTTTTTTATTTTGGTAATAACTTTTTTATTTTGGTTCATGCTAGTCATGTTTGTATCTTCTGAGCCCACAGAGGATGGGGGGGTGATTGGCTGGCTTACATAGACGCAAAGAAACTACATAGAAGTAGTGATGAGAGGTGAGTCAAGAGATAGTTTGACTGCAATTGCTTCTGCTTTTTATTTGCCTGTTTCTACTTTTTCCTTTGCTTTTTTTTGCAGATTGTTCTTACTTTGGTTGTGCTTTTTCTGCTTTCCCTTGCTTTTTTTGCTTGTGATTTTTTTCTCTCTATTTAGGGCTTATCTTAAAATGTGTTTAAAATGTGTGTTTAAGTATCAATGATTTGCTGATTGCAGCTAAAAAAATTTCTGATGACTGGCTATTGTGAACTGGGATAATGTGCAGCCCTTTTCTTACACAATAGGACAGTTCACATCCAGAATTTTAATTAGTTTGCTGACCAGCCACCAGCTTGCTGATATTCAAAAAAGCAAGTAAAATTTGTGAAAATGATCATGAATGGCTGGGATATCCTCATATCTTAAGGTGAAATAATGACAACCAGTAACCAACAAGCCTTTTTTTTTTGGTCAAGCTATTAATTTGATTGTATAATTTTCTAAAATAATGACAACCAGTAACCAACAAGCCATTTTTCTTTTGGTCAAGCTATTAATTTGATTGTATAATTTTCTAAAATGATGACAACCAGTAACCAACAAGCCATTTTTTTGGTCAAGCTATCAATTTGATTATAAAATTTTACCAAACCAGCAAAGCAAATTTAACACAAGGCTTTAGTAGAAAGGGGTCCTTTCAGAGGATGAGAATAAGTCCCAAAGTATGCAGAAGTATGCTGCTCAGATGGTGATTGAACATAAATTTATATAAAATAAAAATATGAAATTGGAACAGGTTATGTAAACTAGTATGTTTCAGAGAAAAACAGAGAGCATGCTAGCTCCATTGCTCTTACATATGTGTTGCAAATTTACAGGAAATTTACAGGGGAATCGGATGAGTACAAAATTCCACCTGTGAATGTCCTCGATGCTGCGCCAAGCAAACCACGGGCCCCCCGAGACCCAACGGGGATCCCAACTGCACAAGACAACACTTGTCCCGGCCACTCTCGCCTCAACCATCCTGCTCCAGCGATCACCACTCTCCTCAACCATCCTGCTCCAGCGATACCACTTTCCTTGGAACACTAGGAACCTTCACCAGATAAGTAAATATTGATGTCTTATCAGAACCCCTCATCAATTTTATTCCGGTGCTGACACATGAACCATTCATACATTTTCTGTTCCCAGACAAAACCCAATAACGAGGTCATGGCTAAATTCCACAACATCACACTTTGGTCACTTTCTCTGTGGCTGCAGATGGGCCACATCCTTCTGCCTCATCATTTGTACAATCCCCTCCCTCAGTGAAGATTCAGCTTTGAACGCACGGAGCCAAAGCTACACAATCCTGGTTCAGTTCACAACGCATGTAGGAAAAGGATGCCCAATGTCTTCTGGTCAGGTTTTGAAATTTTTTCACCCTGCAAATCTGATTAGATGGTCAGGTTTTGAAATTTTTCCACCTTGCAAATTTGATTAGACAATTTTTTTTTTCCGATCATATCTCAAGTTTGGCCTCGGTAAGATCGGATTTCTCAGCTAGCTTTTTGACCTTTTTCCGACTTCGATTGCAGAAACGTTTTTTTCTGAAGAGAAACCCTTCTCTGCGGCCAGGCTCTTCTCGTTCTTCCCAACAGCAACAAACGTTTGCGCAAATCTTGAATATTGGAATCAACTAAATCAACTAGCCGAATACCTTTCTGCAACAGGTAAGCGACTCCATCTAGGCTACACTTGCAAAAACCTCACCAACAAAAAAAAATCAAAACAGGAAAGAGTTATGTATTGTTTCAACCAACTTTCCTTCCATAGAAGAAAAAAGATTACCTTTTCAGCTGGTTTTGTCAATTTCTTAGTCGGTTCAAGTCAAATAAAATGGTACGTCTGTTCGTAAATTCAAAAATACATGAAATATAACTTAATGTATTTTGTTTGCAGATAAGTCGAGGAAATCCCCACAAAGGCAACGATGAACAACAGCTCCCAAGCGCCCATCAAGGTCCTACCCCGCCCACGTTTGTTGCGATAGAGAACGGGCGAGTCGATGATGAACAGAGACACGACAAGGAAGATGAAGAAGATTCAGAATACGATTCTGAAACCTTGGGCGAAGACGATACAGACGAGTCGGATAGTGATTCTGAAATGGAAGAGACCTCCGATGACGAACAAGTCGAGTCCGAGAGTAACATTGAGATCGAAGAAAACGGCATGATTGATGATGACGATGAAGACGAGCTGAGCAGCGAGACTCAGATGTCGATTCAACATGAACATAACCATGACGAGTTAGCTAGCGACGTCGAACTTGAAGAAAACAACATGATCACTGATGAAGACGTCGACCCAGAGGAAAATAACGTGTTGGACGATGAAGATTTTGACGGAGTGTTTACCGACGATGAGACTATATCCGAAACCAGCGCCGCTTCGACCTGTACCGAGTCAAACATGAATGCGGCGGATTGCGATTATTGATTTTAAATTGCTGACTTGTAATTATGCTTCTTACCACACTGGCATACCAGATTTATGGATCCAAAAAATACTACTCCTTTATTATATTGCTTGCAAAGTTTTTCTTAACTTATACTGGGGTTGTTGATTTCTCTGCGAGGAAAATACTCACTGCCCTTGCTGTTGATGTTGATTTTCCAACTCCACTTTCTTTATTCCTTACTATTTTCTGGATCTTCAAGTGTGCCTATTTTCTATCTTACTGCACTAGGGTTTTCATGTGTGAAATCTATTTGTGGGTGTGTGGCCAGTGATTTTGTAAAAAGAACCAATTTCATGCAGAAAAATCAACCTGGGGCCTTGTTTGCAAACATGGAGTGTTCCATATCAAGGTAAAAGCAATCAATCATTTCCATTTAACTTAATTGGAGTATTAAATCAAAATGGTCTCAATTGCAGGTGCAAGCCGTAATGCTCTGTAACATTTGAGCACTAACAGTGTATCCTTAATGCTCTGTATCATTTGGGCTTGAGCATTAACAGTGTATAGGATTTAAAGACACAGGCCACTTTGATAAAATTTCTTACACTAGCAACTGTTCAAGTGCCAGGGATGTGGGGGTTGTAAAGCCACAAGTTCCTCAGTAAATGGAAAATTGTATCAAATGTTGCAAAATTTCTCTGGGAAAATCAAAAGCCTGGTCACTCATAGTTTTCAGAGGAAACTGCCCAAGCAGTTTTCAGAGGGAAAAAACTGCCCAAGCAGTTTTCAGAGGGAAAAAACTGCCCAAGCAGTTTTCAGAGGGAAAAAACTGCCCAAGCAGTTTTCAGAGGGAAAAAACTGCCCAAGCAGTTTTCAGAGGGAAAAAACTGCCCAAGCAGTTTTGAGAGGAGAGGAAACTGCCCAAGCAGTTTTCAGCTGAAAACTCTCCTGAAGCAGGGAAAACTGCTCAGCAGTTTATATATACCAAGAAGAAATTCTGCATGAGGGCTACAGCCATATCAAAATTGAAAGAATAATTTTTGGCAGTATTCTGAGAAAGTTTTCTCCCCACAAACAAATCAATTTCTTAATTGCTGCCACCTGGGGTCAAAATTGGTGTCCTACTCCATAGAATACTGTCAATAAAATTTAGTCAGCCAAAAAATATCTCAAGATGGCTCAAAAAGCCCCTGTGAGAGGTCCAAAAGTACTGCAGTTTGATCAAATGGTGCCTCCTCCTCCTATTTCCCCTTAAACTATTCTTGGAGGACAGACATGAGTTGTTTCATTTTCACACTACTGATTGTGTCAGCAATAATCCAATCAGTCTGTCCAGTGGCCAAAGTGCTGGCAAAACCTATCTGCAAGCCAGATTCAAGTTTTGTTTTCTGCTTTTTTTCTGATTTTTGATTTTTGCTTTCTGTTTCCTGCTTTTTGTTTTCTGCTTGTTTGTTGTTCTCTGCTTTTTTTTGCTTATTTATGTGATTTATGAGATCAGCAAAGGCCAAAAATGCACAAAAACAAGCAAACAGAAGTGAAAGGAAATCAAAAAAACACACACAGCACACACAAAAATAAACAATAGCAAAGCAAAACAATCACCCAAGAATTGCTCAGGTAGTCAGGTCAAAGGTGTTGTTGGACAGCTTTGACCCAGAAGAATCTTCTGCAAGCAGTTTGGTGAGGAGTAAAGCTCTCCAAAAAGCTGCTGCAAGCCATTTCTGCATTGAATTGACCACCTTCATTGAAATTTTTAAGATGATCTGGGACTATAATTTTGCATTCAAGTGCATCTCAAAAATTCACTATCTATTATTTATTAGCAAAACAAAAGAACATAAAGGAAAACTAAAAGGAAAACAAAAGCAAAAACAAAAAAAGCAAAAACAAAAAAGCAAAAACAAAAAAAAAGCAAAAAAAAGCAAAAAATATTTTATAACATATTGGGGCAAAGCCTGGTCATCCCAATGATATGTTGATTCACCACACTCTTGCCAGCCAGCCAAAACCACTTGCACCCGTTGATCCTGACGGACCACCACTGGTAGAATGATGGGTGGAAGAGATAGGATAGTTGTTTCATTCCCGCGGGCAATCCCCCGGAGCGAGCCTTGATGATCTACGCCAGTCCGGCTACCTGTTGGTCGCCACCCCCACTTGGCGAGCGAGAAGGATGGATCGAGGTGGGGTCCTCCTCCATCGAGGCAAACGTAAACGTTGTCGACACGGTGGATGGGCCCTTACTGGGTGGCGAGCCAGACATCAGTAAGGGGGATTTGCAGGTTGGAAAGTGCCTGGCATTTTACGCGGGGCTGAGGAGGATGATGAGGGGCTGGCATGGGAGAGACTGGCCAGGAAAGCCGGCCGAGCAGATTCCGAAGGCTTGAATTCTGGCGCGTCCTCGATCGATGCGTTCTCAGTCTCGGTGAGCGGCGGCAGTGGTGAATGGCTCGACGGCTGCAGTGGTGAATGGCTCGAAAGTTCTAAAGATACCGAAAAAAAAAAGAAATGTAAGCAAATATTTTTCAGATAGAAGGGTGATAAAACCTGATTCTACCTTGCGTTCGATCAAACAAGCTATCCGCTCTCTTGAATCTTCATCAAGAACACCGTCGATCGGATCGACGTCTCTAGCAAGTTGTGCTATCTGAGCCGTCAGGTCCTCGATCCTCCGAAAGCCATCGTCGGCATCCTTCTCCAATTCGTATAGATCATCCAGATCGCAATCTCGTTTACCTCCGTCGACCGAGCACGGATCATCTCAAATCTATTCCGGAAATCCTGTGTGGATACAGACGAGATTCAGCTAATATTTCTAATGATCCAGAGTTAAAGGGAGGGGGAGAGAAGACTGACCATAGGCTATTGCTGATGACTCGAATTAGATTTGAGGAGGGCGTTGGAGGGTAGAAGTGCGGGATGGATCTTGACTCTTAGCGAGAGCAAAGGAGGGCCCGAAGGTCTCGAGCAGTTGGCCATAGTCTTGTACGAGTGGTTGAGCGAAGGTCTCGTAGGCTTCGAGTGCTCCCTGAGGGGGTTCTCGACACTTATCGAGACACTTATCGAGGTTGTTGAGGGCGACTTCGAGAGCTGATTGGTCCGGAGATGGTTTGCGCCGACCTGATGGTGGTGTTGTTGGGGTCGAATGGGGGTGGAAAAAAAAGCAAATCAAAAAAAAAGCAAATCGAAACAAAAGCAATTCAAAACAAAACACAAAACAAAAAAAAGCAAAACAAAACAAAAAGCAAAACAAAACAAAAAGCAAAAAGCAAAACAAAACAAAAAGCAAAACAAAACAAAAAGCAAAACAAAACAAAAGCAAAACAAAAAACAAAACAAAAAAAAGCAAAACAAAACAAAAAACAAAACAAAAACCAAGCAAAACAAAAAAAAAGCAAAACAAAAAAAGCAAAACAAAAAAAAGCAAAACAGGAGAACCAGAGCAAATCCGGGGCTGTCCAGCCCAGTCACCCCGGATTTTCGATTTCCTCGGACGGGCAATTAACCGATAATTTGATTTCATCGGTTATTGGCCCACCGATGTACATTTTCCTCGGTGGGTCTACAACCGATCCCAGTTTGATCGGTTGAGAATAACCGATCTTATGAAAGCTCGGTTGAACCGTCAACCGAGCTTCCATTAATCGGTTGGTAGTGGCCGAGGTTACCTCGGCTGACAACTGACCGAACATTCGAATTCATCGGTTGAACGGCCTGGCGATTTTAACTCGCCTGGTCCGCAGCCGAGTTTAAATCGGGGGATGAAACCCTCGCATGTCCGTCAACCGAATTAGCTCGGATGCGGATAGCATCGGGTGCGCGCAACTGATTTTGACTCGGCTGCGCGCATCCCAGATTAACTGGGATGCGCACAACCAAATGTGACATGTTGGCAGTGCGATAGCCACCGAGGCGACGGCGACATTGGCTCGCAACGGCTCAGCCCAGATAACCAATCCGGTGACGACCGTAGCGGAAAAAACCGCAGTACCAGCGACAACTCTCGCGACCAATGCCCCAGACTCCATGGACTTAGATCCGTTGGCGCTAAAAACGCCAGTCCAGAGAATGGATCCAGCGACCATAGCTTCGGAAGCAATGGACGTGGATCCCGTAGCTTCAACCTCTTCGGTGGATATCCAGCTACTCCGCAAGTTGCCGGAGAAGCAGGTGTTATCCAAGGAAGACAGGATCAAACACCTGGTGAGAGAACATATACACCTTTGGAAGAGGTGCACAGTAGCCCAACAGTCCGGCGCGATGGAAGATCTCAAAATACTTCTCCATCAAGCGCAGGACAGTCAAAAAGTTCTACAGAAGCTGATTCCCCGCGAAGAGTTGGAAGAGTTCGTCAAGGGCTGGAACCCTTGGACGATCAAGAAAGAATTATTTCCCACCGCGCCGAAGAACAACGACGGCAAGAAGCGCTCCTCCTCCTCCAAAGGAGCGAAGGAACGTTACAACGACCCAAAACGTTGGAAAATGGTCATGAGGGGCTGCAACACCCTCGAGGCAGCCTACCGCCACATGGCGGATTAGATGTTAAAATCCTCACAGCTATTTTAGATAGCTTAGAACTTGTTAGTAAGAATTTATCGGCTATTGATAGTAATGCCGAAGAAAATTTTAAAACAATTGTACATAGTCTTGATCTTGTTTCCCGAAATAACAAAAAGAATGCTACCTCGTTGTCCGTACAATTTGACAACATATTGCGAAACCCTCTGTCCATTAATCCTGAGATGACCAAGAAAATAGCCGAGAATACTGCTAAGAGCGAGCAATCATGCTCCAGGCTTACTACTTCCGTCAATAAACTAAATAGTGACTTAAGTACCACCGCGGATTATATCCTTTCTAGCATCAGAGAAGATAATGTTGTAGAGAACGCAAAAAGGAAGGAAGAAACAGACCTAATTAAAGATTTGCTTATCCAACAGAACATTAGAACTGAAGGATTAGAAAATTTGATTAAAGAACAGATCTCTATCCTCAAAACAGAGTTGAGCGCTGAAATAAAAACCAGTGTCCGTAACTTATTAGCGCAGCATGTTTCTCTAGATAAAATTGAAACTCCTGTCTATCAAAATAATGACAAAACCCATCATGGTCAACCACGCTTTAACAACCCCTATATGGAAGAAATTCCATCACAAAATGATAGAGATGTTGCTCCTCATCTTAATAGATCCCAAACCAATGCGGTGCCGCAGCAATATAGGAATCCTGCACCCCATTTATATAATCATACTTCTTCTGCGCCACCACAATCCCAACATAATGCCAATAGAGTTCCATCCAGGTATTACAACATGGATTTAGCTACTTTAAATAAGCTAGTCCCTCCTGTAACAGACTGGCCTCAATTTGCTGGTTCAGATGACTATGACCATATAAGTTTTATTAAATATATTGACCACATGTTGTTGTCTTACAGTGCTGATGATGAATTTGTCCTTAGTAGACTTCCAAGGTTATTTACAGATGTAGCTCTTGAGTGGTTCATAGAAAAACAAGAATCTGTTGGAAAACAATCTTGGGACACTTGGAAAAAATTAATCAAAGCTCATTTTGGTACTAGATTATGGGAACAAAAAATCAGAAGAGCCTTTGAGAGTGATTACTTTGATCCCACAAAAGACAAACCTCACAAATGGTGTCTCACACAGAAAAAGAGGATTGATTGTATGTACAAAAATCCTACCCAACTGGACATTAATGATAAATTGCTTGATCAATGTAAGGGAAATCTAGAACACCAAATGAGATGTAGACTTCCAAACATGGACACTGATTTATCCACATTCATTAATGTTATGGAAGAAGTCATTGAAATGACTGGTGCCAACAGAAGACACAGGGAAAATTATTCAGACAGAAGGGAAGGAACTTCAAAAAATCCTGCTCCTAGGGAAAAAGAAGGCAAACCTGCTGAAATCATCCCTAAGAAAGCTGTCATACCAGAATGCTACAATTGTGGGGAAAAAGGACACAAAAAACCTGATTGCCCCAATCCCAGAAAAAGGATAAATAATGTCAACATTGAACCTGACAGTGAGGAAGAAACTTCTTCTAGGTTTGAAATGGTTCAAGTGGAACCTGAAGATTCAGATTTTCACCAAAATCATCACCAATCTGAGGAATCAGAGTACAGGTTCCATGTTATATCAGCAGATATTGGAGATGAGTTTGAAATTAATGCCATCCACGGTGAGTCCAATTTGCCTCAGAAATGGGATTCTACAATGGAAGTTGGCCACATTTCTGACGCCAAACTTTTGTCCAACAAACCTGAGACAGGTATGAGCTACACTATGGGGAAAAACCAGTTACACTACTGTTATGTACCAAGGTAAAGAGTGGAAAGCTTTACTTGACATTGGAGCTTTTTGCTCGTGTACTAGTAGTGATTTTCT